TTCCCTATTTAACACTGTATAGCTGCTTTGACACAATCTATATTGTATAAAGCGTTATATAAATAAAGGTGACTTGAACTGACTTGTTTAGCAAACAGTGTAGGGATGCTCCCAGAGGAATTATGAATATAACTGTTAAATAATTATTGTTATATTATTATATTGCATGTAGTAATAATAATAATAATAATAATAATAATAACTCGTTGTATTATTATTATTATTATTATTATTATTATTATTATATCAAAATACAGTGGAATAGTCTTCATTACTAGTCTAAAAACTATTTAAAAAGTATATATATTAAAAGTTTGTTTATGGGTTAGCGTGTATTTTTTATTTATTTGTTTATTTGTTTTAATTTTAAAAAATTTTATTCATTTTGAAAAGGGACCATGTACAATTTTAACATTAAAAAATACACGCTAACCCATAAACAAACTTTTAATATATATACTTTTTAAATAGTTTTTAGACTAGTAATGAAGACTATTCCACTGTATTTTGATATAATAATAATAATAATAATAATAACTCGTTGTATTATTATTATTATTATTATTATTATTATTATTATATCAAAATACAGTGGAATAGTCTTCATTACTAGTCTAAAAACTATTTAAAAAGTATATATATTAAAAGTTTGTTTATGGGTTAGCGTGTATTTTTTATTTATTTGTTTATTTGTTTTAATTTTTAAAAAAAAAATTTTTATTCATTTTGAAAAGGGACCATGTACAATTTTAACATAATATTTTCCATTTCATGCATTGTACCGAATTTAGCCAATAGCTAGTTTTCATCCATGGTCCCTTGGCAGGATATCATAAAACAAACTCATACAGTAAAAAATAAATAAATACATAAATAAATAATATTAATTATTAGCTTATTTTCACAACAGTAAAAGTCTATGGGGACGTTCTCACAACAAATGAATTTGTGTGCGTTTGTGTGTACGGCCACTAGAGGGCAGACAAGCATTCTATGCCAAAATTCCCCGGATGATAGCTGTCTCATGCTTCAATCCTTCAATCCGTTAGCAGTTTTGCTTACTACACATCTAAAGTTTCGCTATCTTTCCATTTCATGCATTGTACCGAATTTAGCCAATAGCTAGTTTTCATCCATGGTCCCTTGGCAGGATATCATAAAACAAACTCATACAGTAAAAAATAAATAAATACATAAATAAATAATATTAATTATTAGCTTATTTTCACAACAGTAAAAGTCTATGGGGACGTTCTCACAACAAATTAATTTGTGTGTACGGCCACTAGAGGGCAGACAAGCATTCTATGCCAAAATTCCCCGGATGATAGCTGTCTCATGCTTCAATCCTTCAATCCGTTAGCAGTTTTGCTTACTACACATCTAAAGTTTCGCTATCTCCAGCAGATGTCGCCACATCTCATCAAAGACGACAGACAGCTTATAGGCCAACAATGTAAATAAATAAAGAAATATCTGAGTCTCTCATAAAATAATTACTTACAAAATATTAGTTTTTAATCCACTTCAGATCAGCGTTATTCTATAAAATCTGGTGGTGAGTATGTATTACCATCTTGGCATTACTGACTGTTACAATAATTATGGCCCTATAAATACTCTTGTTTCCTCAAGTCTAAGTTGTATCTTACTTTGTGGTAAAATGAATAGATAAGCCTTAATCAAACGATAGTAACTATCATCCAGGGTTCAGCCCCACTCATTTCTGATGTCAATATTTCACTTTGACTAAAATTTAACCAGGGAAAGATCTGGAAACTTTGGAAGACTAACCTGCATGCTGGTAGACCGTGCATATTTGAACTTGATTTGACTCTGACCTGTGCTTCACTTTGTGTTCTGTCCTGACATTCTGGTTATCATCATGCTGTCAAAGTCTAAAACAGGCAAACAAACACAAAACACCAAAAACGTGACATCCCATAGTCATCAAACAACCTTGAACACTCATTTATCCAGTAATGTCTTGTAGCCATGCACTGCATCAAAACTGGATTCACCTATTTGAATTAAGCATGTGCTAAATATTTTTTTCTGGAAAAAAAAAAAAAAAATCCAATAACATAATAAAATAAAATAAAATAAAATGAATATGATTACTAAAAAGAGGCTTTAACTTCAAGAGAACATATAGAAATTTCTGCACATAAAATCTAATGACCACAGTATTAAAATGTTCAAATTAAAAAGTATTTTTAAAAGTATTTCTTAACATAAGCACATACAATCATGGCAATATGTACAGGCTTTGATTGACCTTATCTGTTTGGCCCAGCTTTAATGTCTGTTGCTGTCTGTCATGTGAGCCACAGAATGACAGATTAGTGTAGTTGATCAGATACTGAACAGCAAAAGGCTTCACTCAGGACTTCACTCAGTCATATGAGCTGAAAAACGTGCACTCTATTAGAAGACAACTCGCACCAGACCCACCCTAAGCATCATGAGATCTGGACAGGACTCTCCTTATCTATGTGGGAAACACGGGATGTGCATTATGGTAATGTTACAGCCATCTCGTCTCTTTATTTGGGTCTGGTCAAGTAACAAAAGCCCGGTTTTAGAAACGACTCAATGTAGCATTGTTGAAGCATTGTAGTATGATGGGTGAAATGCAACCTGTCAGGTGACATCATGTTTACATGCTGATCAGTTTTTACATTCTTTTTCATCTCATCATTTTTTTATTTTATATATATATATATATATATATATATAT